TGCAACACAAAACACTCAGACACGGACATGGTATAGGCAGACTTGTCCTCAAAATCTACAGTGAGACCTTGGTGAGCTGGTCTCATCATACTGAACAGTGTCTAAGATGTTATTACTAGACTTGGATGAGAGAAGTAATGGAATTGGAAAGTGTTGTGGCTTCCAACTGACATGAGCAGCAGAGCAAAGATAGTATACCACAGAAGAAAGCACCTAGTGTGGCAAATTCAGAAATCGGTGATCTTGAAACAACCTTGCCTTGAATCAGCGCCACGGAGATCTTTTTTTATGGTTTTCCTTGAGGAATGGACTGACTGAATTGGCTAAGTGTCCAGGTCCCAAGCAATGCCCTTCCCCTGCCCTGGCGTGGCTGCCTGCCCTCCAGAGCAGCTGATGGGGTGCAGGTGCAGCTGTCTCATCTCGGGTCACACCGTGGGGAAGGAAGAGATCTAAGATATCTCAGCAGGGACTCATCCGTGAGCAGCATTTATGCTGAGCCTGTTACTGCTGGTCTCTGCCTGAGCTACATCGCTGGGTCAAATCAGAGGCACCTATGTTCTTGAGACAGCAAAAACAAAACTTCAGGGGTAAACACCCATCCACTTGAGAAGAAAACGTGGAAATACGGTGAAGGAATTGATAGTGTTCTTTGAGTTTCTTTTCCCCTCAATGATTTAGTTGTGACAAGTCTATATTTTAATTAAAATTACTTCTCCGGTTTGAGATTAGCTCTAGTCATGAACTCCCTGTACTTGGGATGTGGAGGGATCTGCAACTGAACAAAGCTGCAAATGAAGCAAATTGGCTCTCCTTTCCCAGCAGATGTTTAGCATAACTGCTGCTTAATTTACAGTGTAACTTTCTCCCCAGCCCCTAGAATAGGTTACGCCTCTAGCATGCTAGACGTAGAAGAGGGACGGGACAGGAGGGAAGCAGGATGTTTCCATTCTCCAAGCCAGCAACTATTACAACTTAGATTACTGACGTACTAAACCATGAGTATAAACTAGCTATTAAGACACTAAGGACAAAGGAAAAAGAACCAGTGTTTTGAGAAATCCATTTTTTTAATTGCTATTTAGGATATTTACTCTTCAGTGTCTTAAGTTGTGCACCCAAATTCTGTAGTGCTGTGCAGTGATTAATATAGCGTTGTTTACATTAACATTACGTTATTCTCAGTACCCATGTAATATCCTTACAGCATCTGACAAGGACTGTGTAAGAGTTAATAGCACTGTGTAAGACCACTTCTGTGGTCTGCAAACATAGTAAGATGCATTATCTTCAGAATTATGTTAGCTCTAGAGTTAACCACAGGATGAGGAGATGCCATCTCCGCAATGAACCTCGTTTTAGCACAAGGTAAACACACTTCCCCCACATCAGCTAGTCTCACAGCATTAGTGGTGTGTTGTGATTGATTACCAGCAGAGTGTTGCTGAGATATGGATTTGTATCTCAGCTTTTTATCGCTATGACTTGCAAAAGGCAGTTCCTTATTTACAGACCCTAGCTGTATTAAGTGACATTATTAGGTACTACTTTTGTTTAAGTGACACAAAGGCTTAGCATATTGGTGGTTTATGACATACAAGCTGTTTTAATCTGATGATTAACCCCTCACTTTTTCTATTTGTAAATAGGAGCTACAGCACAAGAACATATGGTACTAAAGAAATTAAAGCTAAAGTAAATGGCATTAAAACAAATTCAAATATAACAATAGGATACTTGATCTGAATTATAAACCTGAGTCTGGATTAGACTTAAAAACAGGAAATAAAAAAACAAATATGAATATGAACCTTACAAAAAGAATTTAAGACCATTTCAGGGTTGTACTGTGATTGAATAATTTGCTTACTAACCCACATTATTTAAATTTAATAATTAAATGAATAAATCAGCACAGAGATTTTTAAATGATTGAAATCAGGTTTGAACACCATGTTACTAAAAATTAGTTGTCTACCTTTTTAACTTTTGGGTTTGTATCACATTTCTTCTGATCCAGTAAAAATACGTTACGCATTCTTAAATGTTCATTATGGTAAATACACTTGATATCTATAAACACCAGCATGGAGCACAAAATCCCAGAAGAACCAAGGAAAAAATACTAGTCTAACTCTTATACTCCATACCAAATATCAGTAAAAGGGCAATGAAAAATACATTTCTTAAATTTGTAACTGTCTAACAGCACAATCAAAAAAAGGAATCTTATTCTACTTTTCCTGTAAATACAAGATTTCTCCCATTATTATCCTGTGGATAAGCACCAACTTCTAACATATAAAGTATCATATACTCCCTATTTACTTGAATTTTAATCTAAACACATGCTTAATGTATACATAGTTCCATCTCTTTGTAACCCAACAACAAGTACGTCAGAGACAAATTTTTGGTACGTCCTTACACATAGTTCAATCTGGCAAAAATGTTTGTCTTCGTATGACATATTGCTTTGGCCAAGCATAGCAGTGAACCATCATAAAGATTTTCACATAACTGCCACTGCTATATTGCATTTCTGTTCTACTGAAATACCCTTTTTCAAAACAACTTATTCAACTTACATGGGATATTTTGTTTCTCATTGTTATTACAGTTTGGAAGGTTTGTGTTATAATACCTATTATAATACCTATTGGTTGACAAACACCAGCTAAGGACAAAGCAGAGGTAAGAACTGCCTAACTCAGTAATATTTCTGACATCTGATACTCTGTATTTACTGTAATGTTTGCAAACACGTCAGCATCTATTCACTATCACTCTGCAAAACAAGAGACAAGTTAGTCAGGAAAAGCTAAGCAGTTCACTGTAATAATAACAAACAATTCTCTGACCTTACACGTTTTTGATTTAGTACATTCAAGTATCACTCAGAGATTTCTCATTAAAAGAAGCAATTAGTAGCCTAATACAAACAACAAAACTCATGACAATTTCTGGTCTGCTCACTTAAAGTGTGCCTGAATTTCTCTGACAGCTAGACACCCCAGGCAGCGCTTCTGGCCATATGGGATCCAGCCAAAACCTTTCCTCAGAGTTTCTACAATCTTTTTTTTTTTTTCAAAAACCTGACTCAGATTAATTCTTCTCAAAGAAGTATCAACAAAACAAAGCACAAGTTCTCTGTGCAACTGCGGCTGCTATTTGCTTTGAAGAACTTCGTGTTTGAATTCAAAGTGCATAGCACTGTGATCCCCTAAACCAGGGGGGTTCATTAGGCAATTCCCTCCGGATGGATACGTATCACTTCTCCCCCTCAACAGGACAGGATCACTGAGTGAGTAATACACCAACTTATGAGCATGAGGTGCAGATACCTATGTTGAAAACACCCTCTTCCATAAAGTAAGCATCTCCTGAACAGATGGGAAGACCTACCTCACCAACAGCCATTTAGGATGTGAGGGAAACAGACCTTCATTAACAAACTCAGGTATTTCCAGTTGGATCATTTCTCCCCCCAGTTACAAGTTATGATGCAAGAACTAAGAAAGCTGGCATACATGTATCACTTCTTAGCTGGATTTCCACACATCAGCATTTATGAAAAACATTCACAGGAAAACAGGAAATGGACTCCTACATTCCTCTTCCTCTCATTCTCTTTACACTTTATATTAAAATTGGAGACAAGAAAACTATGGGGGGAAACTGTTCCACTGGATATTCATTTGATTACCTCTGAGTTTCCAGAAAGGGTGGCATCCTGTTAAGTACAAACCTTGCCTGGACTTCTGTAAGACTTTTTAGGACTAAGACAACTGAGGAACAAGATGCTCAAGAGAAATTCAGTTTGCATCTTTTACGGAAGAATACACGCTTTCATTTCAGGTCATTCTGCTAGGAAATGTTTTGGGTTTTGTTTTTCATGGTTAAACAGTAACACAGTTTGATTTACGGAAAATGGAAATGATTTATGGAAAAGCACCCTGTCCTCCCCTTCAAAATGTAACAGAGAATGAGTTTCTTTTTTCTGTCCATGAGCAACAGAAATGTGAATAGAAGCTCCAGTGGTACTGTCACTCTATCAGAAAGGCAGATTAGAGGGAGTCCTGCCTCAACACTGGAATGAAGAAATAACAAATTCAGCCCCTCACGACAGGGTATGAATCCTGTCTTTGCTTTCTGCTTCCAAGTCCTGACTACATCTACCTGCAATGTTGACAATTTCTCCATTGATTTCAGTATGTACAAACCACCTCAACTCTAAACTACTTGACAGAAGTGAAGCAAACGTACCTGAAGGAATGCTGGTGAAGTTGGCAGTCTTTAGGGTAGCAAAACTCTTAAAAAGGATTTATCCATCATAAATTAAAAGCTGGCTGCAAGGAGCAGTCCATGGACAGCTGTGCAAAACCTAGTATTTCTACCACAAAATACTGAACGGAGGAAATAGTCAAACATGCATTTGGAAAAGAAAACACCTACATATTCCTGTGATAATGATTTCTGATGATTTTTCTAGTGATGGCCTAGAAAGTTGCTGAAAAGTTTTAAGCATTAAGAATAATTTTTCTTTTTTATTTCATCTCATTACTTTTTTTTTTTTTTTGACAAGTTGGGAATATAGATATTCTAAAATAATTTTGAAAGCAAAATCTTCAAAGGCATTGCAGAGACAAAATTTTCACTTTTTAGTGTTTAATACACAGTTTTGCCCTAAGACCAAACCCTTGGGTCTGTCATCTGTACAGTACTTTATGCAGGGAATTGCAGAAGATGACCAGGGAAGAAGACCTAAGCAAAGGCCAGAGCAAAAATACACCTGCATACAATTCCTATAGAGACAAAAGACACTGAGAAAGACAGCTTGCCATAAACAGAGTTTACAGGCTCTGTTTTACTGCACATATAGAATAACTTATCAACATCATACTGTATGACTTATGATACTTTGATATTGCAAATCCTTTACAGCCTACCAGGCCTATTTATAATGTAATAATTTATTTACAAATCAAGAAACTAATACTTACATAGCTGTGACTCTTAAGGAAATCTGAAGGGTTGCTTGTGCAGACTTTATCCCCTTCCAAGCCAATTACTCTTTTACAGATATTTGATTTGGGGTCATTGGGGCTTTTCGCAATTACAATATCTCCTCTGGGAGGGAAGAACAGAAACAAACAAAAGAGAACTCTAATTACAGAATATTTGGCTGAACACATGTATCAAAGCACGTACTCCAAAATTATTCCCATATATTAAAGACATTTCTTTCTCGAGAAAATTCTTGTCTGGGATTTTGGTTTCTTCAATGAGTTTTACTCAGGTGGAATGCAACCATACTTGGAGAGTCTCTTTGTTATTCACATTACTTACAAAACTTTTAGACTACTTTTTAATTGGCAATACTCTAATAAAATGCAAGTCATTTAACTTGATCCTGTTGTTAGTGTATATGGAAGAGATTCCAACTTCCTATATGTCATTGTCCAAATGTTTTTCTTTCAGTGGAACTTCAAATGCCTGAGTTTGCAGGCACTGTTATATTACTTTTGCCCTTTGATTATATACATTAGATCGTGCAATGAAATATTCCACAGCAAAATGGGCAAAAGCCTGGAGACTGCTGTGCTCTAATCATTATGTTATTTAAATGATAAACTGCACTTACACCATTTGATCACTTTTCTAACATCCTACCAGAGCACAGCAAACCCCACAGCTTGATTTATAAAACAAAACTGCTTAGAGAAATTACATTCACACAGAACAGATTTAGGGGAAAGAAGGGGGAAGGGGATTCTGTATTTCTTTTGGACAAAGGTGGAAAAGTGACTTGGACTATATCCTAAAGGAGGTCTGACCAGTCACAATGAGAGATTTATGAAAAATTACATTTCAGAAGCAGAAAAATATGTGAAAAATAAAAATGGATAGAGCATAGCTATTGACAAGGCCTGCCAAACTAAATGTACAGTCTAGTCACAGCAAAGAAGCGTACTTTCGAATGCAATAAAAGTGTCGGCTAAGGTTCTCCGAAAAGACAATATCAGAATTTTGAATTGTTGGTTCCATTGAAGGTCCAGAACACTGCAAATTAAAAATAAATGAGAAAAAAATTACTATTTGCCAATTACCTTTATCTAAAATACAAGAGTTTTCAATTTACTTGCTAATAAGTTATAGTAGGTGTAATGCAAAACAAACAATTTTAAAAAATGAAATCTTCGGAGGAACATTTGATACATTTAAAAAGTGAGGACAGCCTCCCGTGCTCTTGTAACTCTGTTAGAGCTCTGGGTTAGCTTAAAATTGGTCCTGAACTGTGCTAGGTGCCATGATTTCCTAAGGACACGTTTCAGCACCTTCTCTGCAGGAAATTTTTAGAAGCAGCACTCCGAGCTCTGCCAGCTCACCCTCTTCTTCAGCCTCTGTACAAGAAGCAGTGCAGAAGCTGCAGGAGGAGCTCTCAGCCAGAATCCATGACATCCAGCTGCTAGGTTGAGAACCTGGGAAAGGCAGGGGGGTAGCATAAAACATCCAGAAACCTGCCCAGCATTGGGAACAGTCGTGTTTCCTGTGGCATTTTGTGACTCCAGCCTTTCTGAAAGAACATACTCTTTGCAAAATGCTTACTCATATTGTTTCCCATTTGCTTCAGTGATTCCTGAAGCAATAAACTGCATAAAATACGTAACTTTCTTCCCTTTTTTTTTTTTTTTTTTTTAAAAAAAGGAAAGGCTGGACCTGTCTCCAATAACAATAAGTAGGGAATTATTGAACACACTTTGAAAAAGCTTTAAAAATGAAGCAAACTGAAATAATGGCATTATGACATAAACCAGTTTCAGTATTATAGTTTTATTTCATAGAAAACATCATTTCCCCTTAAAGATCATGAAAATGAAAAGTTACCACAACAACTCCTCCAAGGTACTCAAAGGCACAGTGCGCTATGCAGCCGTATTGCACAGTATACCCAAGAAATCGAAAGGTTTTTCCTAGGGCATTGCGAAACATGGTACAGTGCTACGTCCTTTGGCTGGGTCTAGTCTATATCAAAACAGAAGAACATCATTCGTTTGACAACAAGCAACATGACATTAATAAAACTATCTTTTGCATCTAACAACCACTGGACAGCATTTCTAAAAGAACAGCGAATGAAAACAACAAAATAATCAGATATATCTGAAAGGATGAAAAGCCACCAAGTTATTCATCTGTTAATGCTGGCACCTCCACGTGTACGATTAATCGCCACTCTCCCCAGCTTATTAGTAAGATTTAGACACTCAAACAAACAGAGAAGAAGCTGCTGTAAACACAATGAGAAACACTTTGCAAGGCTACGGAGATCAACGGGAGGGAGTGGTGACAATACTCTCCGCTGACTCATCCCGACTTCTTTTGCTGGCATTTGCAGACAGGCTTACCTGCCCTGTGTCTAGGTACCTGCAAGGGCCATGAGAACATCCTTTCCTCCACCAGGCTTGGCTGAACGGAAGCTGGGAAGCTCTGATCCCACCTTTAAGCACGGGCGCTCCCTTCCTGCCTGGACTACTACAGCCTACTGTAAAGCACATGCAGCTGGAGACTTCAGATGTTTATTAAGTGACACTTGTGAGCTTTGTTCTAATCACATGAAGACAGTACAGCCAAAATCACTGTGTTTGGTTTTGTTGTTGTTTTTTTTTTAAGTACCAATATTTAAAGCCGAACACTCAACAGCAAAACAGAGAAGCATCTGACCAGCTGAAGTGACCTGAAGCTATTTCACAACTGCAATCACGTTGACAGAAAACTGGAATAAGCGAGTAGCCAACCAAGACTTTACAAGTGACCTGACAGCCATTCAAATGAAAAAAGGCTTCAAGAACTACACGAAATTTAAGATAATAGAGTTGTGAATGGCTTGCCTATGTAAGACTGTTTATGCTAGAGAAAACCGATGCTGTTGGTTCTGTAGTTTTTGCAGAGTTTTCTTTTGATTAGATTTTCATTACCAGAACATTTACATATAAAATTAAGGCATTGGGTCCTGCTATTCTTAGACACAGCACAGTGGCATATGTTCTGTAGCACATTAAAGGACTCCATAAATACCTTCTGACAACCGTACCCAAATATTTAAATGAAATTCTGATGACTAATTGAAAATTACTGCAACACTAATCTGGCTGAAGTGTTCCTTACCCCAATATTTAAGATTTTTGATATACTTTTTTTTTTTTTTTTTTTAAGGAAGTGGAAGATGTGCTTTAGTAACTGAAGCAAGTTTTACATTCTGAAAGAAATCTGTCCCCCTTAAACTCATTATCAGCTTCACCATGAGTTAAAACCCCAACAAAACTTCTCTCCTACTCATTTACTAAGATGGGTCAATAGAGCTTGCTAAACAAACACAGTAGCTTAAGAAGGAACCAAAAACGCTGCAGGTATTGTGCGGCCTACTTGGCAGTGAAGTAAAGTGCTCCCCTTCTACATTTCATTATGTTTCTCTATTTAAATGCGGAAATTTAAAAGCATTTATAGTTTTATATCCATAGCACTCTCTAGAAGTTAATGGGAGTTTTGTCTGAACGCAATCAAAAGAGGTTTTTGATCTTTGCATTTAGTATTTATTTATAGGGAAAAAAGAAGAGCCTTCATGGGGGAAAACATTCTCTACCAAGCTCACTTCCTTGCTCCAAAAAGGATTTACTTGGTTTTTATTTTATACAAGATCGCCAGAATACATGTACTTGAACCAATCTGTGATTCCTCACCCTTCATCTTAGCTGAGGAGTTTCACAGTAACACAAAACATAACAGAAAACAAAAAAGTCTTGAAGGGCTTCATTAGCATGTGCTCGCACACGGCCGGACACCTCGGAGAAGCAGCAGCTGCCCTGGAAGCTAACGGCACTGCCAGCACGATTTCACTCCGGGTTCCCAAAAAAGCGATTTGCTCTTCTCCACCCAGCACACTATGAAAAGTATGGACCAACCCCTGGCTCTCAAGGCCAGGAGCGCTGTGAGCCCAGAAACATTTCATGGGTGGTGAAAGGCAGATTGAGTGTCGGCAGATCAATGAGCGTTTTACAACTGGCGCGGATCAATGACCGCAACGGGTTTGTGAGACAAGCACATCGACGCTCCCCAGCAGTGCCTGCTAGAAAGGCCACCTCGCACTGCTTCCCAGGCAAATACTGCACAGCCATGCTGCACTTCAGCTCCGTGGCTGTAACCAAAACACGTACTTTTTCACACCAAACTGCAAACCAATTCTGTATGTCTCTGAAAACCATTTTCGAATTCTAAACACATGAACCTGATCTCCTGTCAGAGTCCAACAGGCACATCCGTCCCCCATGGTTACACTGAGCACACACTTCTTGTTGTCTCTGAGGAAATCTGAATTCGGAGGGATGGGTTTGTCCATTATTCAGGGAAACAGAGGGGCTGAAAGAGTGAGTGCTACCTACTGCTACAGCTGCCACGATACCAAGAGGATAGCAAATGAGCCAAGAGGTCTCAAATCTGGCTCCCCGTTCTCTTCCTAATGGGTTCCCAAAGACTCTGCAACGGGGAAGCTGGATAAAAATAAATTCTCAATCCAGAAGACAGGGATTTCACCAGTCCCAGTTTACATACGTGGCACAATGGGACTTTTTGAAATGCTCAGGTTTATCAGATGTTCATGATAATGATGAAAAAATTCCTTTAAGGCTTAACTTTTACTACTCCTCATTTCCAATTAAGGCACGTATGTAATACCTAGATGATACTCTTTGAAACTAATAAGATAACTTCAGAGCTTCTTTGTTTTTAACGTTAGGATCCATCTTCTGACATGTAACGTTCATTCCACAGACTACAGGATAACTACAATCCCCAAAGTCTCCGTGTAGTTTTAAGTAACAACTTCTAGTTCACACGTGAATGGTTGTAGGAAGTCCTGTCCAAAACCAAACCAAACCAAACAAAAAAACCCCACAACCTCTAGAGGTTTATTATTAAAAAATAAACACAGAACATTTATCTCACAATTGCTCTAGCTTAAGTATCAGTAAAATATAATTGTTTCCTCTGAAAACTATTTATCAGCACATTCTTTAAACAATGCCATATTATTGATCACAAGCGGCCAAATGGCTGAACGTTTTTCCACGTCCCGCAATTCATTTTAACACAAAGTCCTGTCGGCAGGCACCTCCACCACATACAACATGAGGCCATTAAGGACAATAAACCAAATGATTTAAGTCACGGGCCCCTTGAAAACTTAATGGGTCTGTTGTATAAACACCCTTATCACAGCCCTATCGACATAAAACCTGTTGTAATTACTTCCAGGTACTACTTACTACTTACAGAGTAGGCAATGTAACATTTTATACTGAAACAGACACTGTTTTTCTAATGAAAATAGACATTGATTTGAAAAAGTTACGCACACACATTTGTCATGTAGAACACAATTTGGTTGCTCGAGAAGAACTGCCTATTTTATCTCCTGCAGCAAACAAAATGCAAAATCTGACTCCTACTCTTCTGTTCACTTCTTCTTACGTCGTCTAGGCTTTCGTCATTTTATTTTCTTGTTTGTTTGTTTATAAAATTAATCACAGCTAGCAGGGTAGAAATCACTTTGAGCCTCATGAATGACATCCAAGAGATGGGAAGGGATTAGTTCGCAGTTGCTGCCAGTTATAGCGCCAGGTGGCTTTTTCTGCAGTGAAGGTGTTACCGATAATCCCATTACATTGGTACTAAATCTTGCAGACATCAAAATTATCACCAAGGTTCCTTTTCATCCCATCCTTTCCAAATGACTGGAAGTCGCTTCACCTGAAAGAAGTCAAATCCACATGCAGCTGCTGTTTTAGCAGCCAGCGGACTCCCTGAGAATGCCAATCGTGATCCAATTTCGCTGTGCTGGTGGCCCCCTATTCCCTGTCCAATAATACATCTGTTAAAAAATCCTACAGCTACAAATCAAGTTTAATCCTACCAGGGACCTCATGTTGGTCTTGTCTTCCAAAAAGGCAGCAGGTTTTACCGTCTATCTCTGCTAGCGTCTAGGGAATACTCTTTAAATCCCAGCCCTACTTAGAAGAATAAGCTAAGGATCACAAAACATGACCTCAAAAACCCTGATATGACTATATTCTGACCCAGAGGCATTCATTCTAGGTGAAGATTAGAACTTTGCATAATAAGATTACACAGCAAGTGAATGATATCAAGGGACTATCCATATGCAGCCGCCTGGTTTTCTATAGACAGCCTGTGCTCTGCAATATGCAGCGCAGACGAAACAGAGCTTGGTCTTTCTAGCTGAAATAAAATAGATTCACATAAATTAGTTGGCCATTTCCAGATTCCTAAATCCCCTATTACATCTTTTATTGACAGCTCCTGTGAGGATAGCACAAATGTTATTCTCTTTGTATTTTTCCTTCAGTAACAATCACGCTCTGAGTGAAATGTAGGTAGATTGTCTAGAAATTAACATCTTGTTTGCTGTAATCTTGGATTACAATTAACTGTGTACATAATAAAATTAGGAAACCCAATCAGTGGATTTATCATTTCCAGATAACTGATGGCACAGTTTAGCACGCGGTGCCAAAATTTTAAATACAGGAAGATCAAAGGCATAGCCAATGAAAATGTGGCTAAACAAATTATTGGACTTGATGCCAATTAGATTTTTTTCACCGTAATAAAACATTTCCAGTCACACTTGATTTATATAATACTAAATTCTGAATTTTCACAGAATATTTAGCGACAATTGATCAGATTTTCCTCAGCTAATAGAAACACAACTATGGCATTCTCCCCTACCCACCAGACATCTTTCTTCTCACAATGTAATCCTATAACTTGCACCATGTTTTTCCCAAAAGGTTACCTTGCGACTATTACTAAAAAATTCCAAAAGCCCCAAAGCAAGAAAGAACATATGATGATTGGGCTACTGAAATATTTTTGTTGGAGCTTGCATTAACATAAATTTAACTATTTTTAAAACCTCTTCATGAAATTAATGTAATATGTGCTGGAAGAGTGAAAGGTGTATGCCACGTTTACTGAGAATTTTTAAATATGTTAATATATGTATTTTAAATATGTTAATTATACTCATCTAAGGATTCTGAACACCTAAAGGAAAAAAAGGAACCATTTTCAAATGATCTTTCTGTGCATGGGGCCAAGGAGAAGTTGACTTGTATTTCTAGCTGTTGTTTTCCTCTAGAAGATGCACTAGATACAGTCTGGCAAATTTGAAAAAACTTGGGTGATAATGTGGAAAAATAATCCTTCCAGAATATCTCTACTAGGCACTGACAGTTTGTCTCCAACAAGTGCTCCTTCATCTGCTGTTCTCAAGCTGACAAGTAGCTCAATCCTGTAAACAGCAATTCACATAACGCAATCCTCTGGTGTGGATCTAGCCTCAACTAGAGACTACCTACATGAGAATGAACAATTTTTCAAAAGAGATTTCAAGCAGTTCTCACTGATTCTCTTTACCTTTGGGAGGAAACTCCTAACAATCCCACAACCCTGTATAGAATGGTGTGTTAATGGTCAGATGCGTTCCTGGGCTTCTACCTTTCTCTGCAACTCCATATATACTCATCTTTGCTGAACAGCAAAATCCAAACAGCTGAGCAAATGCATGGTCATATGTGGCAAGTCTGAGCCTCAGAGGAATGCTGAAATTTTCACTTAACGGTTTCCTGTAACAACATCAAAGTTAGGACATAGATGCCAAAGCTCTGACAGACAGCACAGTCCCTTTGCTGGTGAATGAGAAAAATACAGTGTCTGGATCACAAGGGTCAAGTAACTATTCTGAGCTATACTCATTTATCTTGAATTTCAAAACAAACTACCTTCTTGAAATATTCCCGCACATGTAGAGTAAGTGTGTAAAATGTGTGTTCATTAACTAGGACAACGAGTCCCAAGTCCCATTTTCACATTGGGTACCTGAACTATGACCCTACAGAAACCTGCAGCATCCATGGCTCACACGTCCCATGCACTTCCCACTGCTGACACTCCTCTAAGCACACACAGGTATTTTTGGAAACACCATTCAAAGCAGTGGGGTAATTAATTTCCCTGTGCGCTAACAAATAAAAAGACTGTTTACTTAAGATATCTGCCATTACAAACAGGATTGCTTATTGGTAAAAACACCACAAACAAGCAATAAAACCATTCACATAAAGCAGCCTATTTACATACACCACCACGAAAACTGTTTACAAGGTGTCTTAGTCTTATCCCCACCGTTAGTCTCAGATTAGTGTGTTACTGCTGAAGAGCACTCCACAGTATTAGTAACACAGAAATCACACAGCATGGGATCTTAACATAAACAGTGAATCATTAAACATTCAAAAAGTGCATAAGAAAAAAAAAAAGTTTCGGCACCATCAGAAAATATAACAGCAACAATCTCTGGATCTCTTCATCAACACTCCCCAGTTATGAGCATCGCCTTCTAATGAAATGTGCAAACTCTGCATTAAAAAAAAAAAAAGTTAAAAGACAGGAGAAAAGAAACACAGACAACAATGAGCTTAGTATTTACATTTTCAAATTACCTGAACAGAAAAAAAACTGCAAATCAAATGCTGCTATTACTCTACAAAAATTTTGATGGCTTTCCTAAGTTGCTTTTTAGAGAAGAGGTCCAAAATACACGTGTATGGATTCAACTTCCTACTCTTCACAATACAAACTGGATTGCATGTGAGTTTATGCGGTGAAAATAAATTTTAATCGGTACTTTTTATCACTGCTATAAAATTCTGAGCTATTTCTGAGCCGTTTTATATAAAACACAAGTTTCGTAAGTTGTTCTCCTCTTACAGATACAAGTATTAAAAAAAAGTTGCAAGCATCAATAGATGAGTGCAATGATATTCAGTCTAAGTTAATCCCCAGACATCCAAATCCATGAATAAAAATTCATCAGTTTTAAATACACTGAGCCTATTAAGCAAGAACAAAAGCATATGCACAAAAGAGCTTTTAATATATTTCAAAGCCCACAAGAGCCATGGTCTCATTAAAATTATAAATTACACAAACATGGAATGAAGATTCAAACTGCAGTGCAGCTAAGGAGATTACAGAAAACCCCGCGTTCCATATGATAACACACCATGGCCCTCCCAGATGGGGGCTTGGAACAAAAAGGCCATCACTGCAGCTAGGGAAAACCTCCTTGTGATCTCTGGTTTCTGTTCAGCAGATGACAGCCAAATAATATGTTGATTATTCTGTTTGTGCTGCTAAGCTTGTAAGACGGAATAAAAGCGATATGATCTATTGTGAACTCAATGCTAATGTGTTGCTCCACTCATAAATAATATACTGAATTTATTCCGAAACTATCTTTTTATCTGAGTTCCAGGTTTCAAACGCATGAACTAAAATAAAAAGCCAGCATAAACTATTATTTAATTTGAAGGTTTAAAGTAGAGCTGACACAATAAGTGAATCAAATACGTGGAGGCACCTTTCTCAAATTTAGCAGATGATCATATGCTAAGGTGCTGAGTACCTGCAAGGCGCTGAGCCCGCTCCAGGCCCAAAAACTGCACTATCACAGAGAGCAAAAAGGTTACCAAAGAAGGCCCAGTGTGCCTTATTTTATCACAGATAACTACCAGAAATCCAAATTTCAAGTGAGGACGTGGATATTTGTAAAATGGAAAATAAAACAGAAATAATCATTGAATAACCTCACTAATCTCACACCTCCTCATCCAAAATGCCTTCTCAAACACAATTTCTGAGTTTTTAAGAAGTGGCCACACAATAAGCACACAGTTCACATTACCCTTTTCTTCATGACACACTGCACTTCTAAACGGAAACCCAGGGACTGCTCATATAGCTCCTTTCACAATTACTGTGTACGTGCTAAAATAACCAATAATCTTCCCGGACTTTAATGGTTTTGAATTTTAGGTCTTTTATACCAGAAATGTTAAACATTCTGGCCAAAAAAAAAAAAAAAAAAAAAGGCCCTGTAACTTGGCAATAGTGTAACAATATCAAGACCAAGGGGCTGCTTTGCACTTCTGGGACCAATGGAAGCACGGCTGATACAAAGAAATAATGGAGACACACAGCTCAAAAAGTGCATAACCGTTTTCCCAGAAACATTAAAGTGTACTTAAAGGAAGGTCAATTACCTTTCTTCTTTCAACATGGGACACAGAGACAGCTCTAAAACAGGCTGACTGAAAACAAGGGAGCTGGGAGATCTTTGAATCAAGTGCTTGTATGTTTTAAGACCCAGGTAAATTGCTTCCTCCGGAACAGAGTCCCCCAAGGCAATGAGATTACACATGTTTCTAATACGAAACCAGAGAAGACCTTGAAACAATCAGAGAAGCGTACTTTCATACCAGCAACCACAGCCTTTACCCTTTCCCATTTAAAATACAGCATTGTGCATGACTGTATAGTCCTACTTCCAGCTTGTCCTCAGTGAAGCCTGCCGGTTGTGGTCCTGCCTGATTCCTTCCTGATGGAGTTGGCCGGCGTCACTGGGTGGGAAAGCCAGAACCAGCATAATCCTGCACTGGGTCAGTGACTCCATCGCTGTTCGTAGCAACAAACAAATTGCTTTATCTAGCTCCTTGTAACACGCCAGTAGGCATTTCAGTTCAACCACTGCTCTTCTGCATGTCATTACCAGGCTAAGGATGGAGTAGTTCATAAATTTCAGACAGAATGAGCAATAAGGGCAGTAAAACTGCTCATTAGGGAACACTACACCACCTCAGGTTACTTCCAGAGCAGCAGTGGCTGAATACCCCAGCCGGCACCAACCTACCTGTCTGGAGGAGCTAGCGAACCCTCAGTGCCCAGAACACATCGCTGGCCACCACGCTGGCAAGCTTAGGCTGTGACTTTGTCTGGCCTGCCAAGAAGTGACATCCTTTCATGTAAGCACGTTGGCAAAGATTCTTGTCTTTGCGATCAAGTTTTTGAGATTCCTTTCCAATCGACTGTCAGTTCCTACTCCAATGTAGAAACTTCCTGAGTCACAGCTAGCATGCCTGGCACTGCTTCAGTGCAAGTCAGAGCCTGTTGCTGAAGCTAATCGGAGAAGAAGTCAGCAATACAGATCCTATCCTGCAGCAGAGCAGCCAAAAGTTACTTCTAAGTATACGAAAACTCCTCAATTACATTTCCTTTACACAAGAGGGGAGGTCGGGCAGGTGGGGCAGCACAATTACAAGACCCATGACGTGGATTTTGTTAACTTTTATATCCAGAAAGTACTACAGAAGTACTTGTCGGAACATTACTGGTTGGTTTGGGGCAATAGCAGAAAGGAGGGAAAGTCCTCCGTACAAAAACACCTTTAAGAATATCCCAGCAAGCAGAGACGAGCAACTCGAGCAATTTCAAATCCTGAAGGGGATCGGGTCAATCTTTTCTAAGCACGGACAAGCCTCAAGTGCTTTGCCACAACATTCATGGGATTCAGGTTTCACAATGGTGCAGAGATAATGGGGACAGAGATGATGGGGAAAGCTAAACCAAAAAAGAGCACCTCCTATAAAGGCCCACCCTGTAGGCGAGGAGCAAGCACCGCCTGCATTCCCGCAGCTGCTGGTACTGGAGAATTTTAAGAGAAATTGCACAGTGCTGTGGAATAGTGCATTGGAAGACTAAGAGCCTTGGCAGAAAACGTAATGCTTTTCCAAAGTTCAAAAGGGGACAATTTTTAACCTTTTAACAGCAGCTTTAGGAAAAGATGCTAATAGAAACTATAATGTCAGCAACACACATTTTTTTTTTTAGACATTCAGTCAATCTTGGAATCTAAAAACACATATGATACATTCTGTATTTTCGCATGAACTGTATTAATAAATATTATATATTTAAAAATCACAGCTATTTTACTTTTCCTTCCCATAAAACATCATGGCCTACATTATTTGCCTGGCTTTAGAAACGCCTGCTTAATCAAATATGCACAGCCAGATACAGCTGGAAATCAAAAACAAAGACTTGAAAATATCAAAGAATTTAAATTACATTTTTCTAGTTGAAACACAAACTTCACCTTATCCACTGATACGCTGAAGCAACAAAAAGTTTTACTCTTTGAGGGCAGTCATCTGTATCCTCTATGAAATAGTTGTGGATGTTAAGCTTTGGAAAAGGTTAGAATCACTCTCTCAAAATCTAGATTTTAATCCTGAAGTAAGCTTTAAATGGACGTGGAACCCAGCGTGAAAAGCATCATAGAATATCAGAAACCACAATACAAATAGTACTCCTCCTCTAGCTGGCTATTTTTTCCATTGCTTTTAGTCCTACTTTAGATCTATTTTTAAATTATCATGATTGTTTTAAATAAATGTGAATTCATCTTTTTAAAATAAACAGTGGTAAACTAATCCCTGTGAAATACATGACTGGTTTGTACGATGCTTATTAAGACAGCACACTCAACTTAAAGCTCATCTTCACTACAACCGTTCTGCAACCTTCAGTAATTCTATACTGTATACTTTTATATTCTGGAATTATGGGAACATATTTAATATCTGCACAGAAATTACAATGGTCATTTCAGTAATAACTTTTTAACGATCTACATTTATTAAACCGTTGTCCTCAGCACATAGCATAGAGTCAACCATACTGCTTGGATTCACGTTGCCTGATTTATGTACTCCCAGTTTAAAAGAACTGCTTACGTTCGACACAGGTTCAAATTTTTATCACAGTTGTTCAGTAAATAAAACCCACAGAGGCACTGAGAAAACATCTCGAGGCTTTCCGAAGAAAATCATATCATGTTTTATACAATATCACACGATTGGTATGTCTTAAACTCTCCTGCTAATCCTTGCGTTTTCCAGGGAAGGATTGGGTAAGTAGTTTTTAAGCTTTTTTCACACTGAAAAACCCCAGGTCTTTCAGCGCCAGAACTTCCAGGATTAAACATTCTTTCCAGTTGTTGGCTCATGCCCTGAAGATCCTGCACTCTCAAACATCCTATTCTAGCCAGTTCAAAGATCAGGAAAATGAAGCCATCTTCTTTGCGGTCATAATCCATGACCCATGCTGTTAGATACTTAAGAACATCTCAAAAGCAAACTACCTTGTTTCAGCTCGCAGCGTGAGCTCGGCGGGGTGCAGGACCACATGACTGCCGGCCCTACCTCGTCAGGTGACGCGGGCGCTAATCTGATTTGGTGACTATAAAACTTTAATCAAGCCTAATGCCATCACATTCCAGGCCTGATGAGGGGAGCTGCTTTGCGATACAAAACCAAACGCTAATAAGATTATGAATCAGGACTGCCATTAGATTGCAGCTTTCTAGTTTTCTATCCCATACGTAAACCAAAGAAAAATATTGCTACAAACCAATCAGGCAGACATATGGTTTTGAAACAAAATTAACTAATGTATTTTATTCCAAAACAGCATTTCACTCATTGCCAGGGAAGGACAAGAGAATACGCTGAATCTTATAAGGCACAATTAAAATGTAGCAAAACCCATTAATTTGAAATCAAGGTAAGTAAGAAATGTATAACATGTAGACACGACAGTCAGAGAAACACTACTTAAACAACACAACTTGCTGTAGCTGAAGGACCTAAGAGTTTAAACCTGTAACCAGTGTAGGCTGAATTCCAGTAAACAAAGCAAGAGAAGAATGGAAAGCAATTACGAAGACATTTGCTCATGATTTGCAATCACCTCCTTGCTCTGTAGGTTCTCTGCATCTCAATTCCATTCACAGAGCAGGAATAATAGGAGTTAGCTACCTACTAACATATAGTTAAGGATGAGGTTTTTCTATATTGTAGTATCTGGAATTACAGTTCCTGTGGTGTTGCTTTCCGAACTGTCAGACAGCTCCTAGTGGGATCCTTCACAATGGCTGGAAATTTTGGACCGTGGACACGTGACCCCTGGCAAACTCTCAGTATAATTCAAGAGAGTGAAAAAGTTAATATCATTCCTGAAAATGAAACGCCATTGACTTCAAAATTAAGAAAATTCCACACACTCACTTTCTTCTCTACTCTTCTAAAATTTGCATGCAAACAAGGTCAGGTGCTGTAAGTGATGTTTTTACAGGCACATATTCATTTGTAAAGTTTATGGTATTAAATAGTTAACTTTTTCAGAAAAGCTTAAATCCTTGAAAAAGAGCTTACTTTCACCTGCTTTCTAAATCAGTAGGGTGTTAATTCTACTCCTCACCATAAAACGTGACAGATGAGAAGCAAACATCACAAACAGAACTATTGCAGTAATTTCTGAAATTCAGTTCTTATACTGAAAGACTATTTATACTTCTCCACAATTCTGTGGTAATACAGTCTCTCCTGGTGTAAATTACAATGTTAGAGGCATTTTCTCTGTATTTCAGAAGATACCATCTCACAGAAATCATTACAAAAGTTTCACTTTATGTTAAAACATAGAAAATTCTCAAGTAGCTGTGAGGTTCATTCACCCTGTGAGATGAATCAACAGCTCGCAGCAAAAGCTGGAAGGTTTCGATGCCCACTGCCCACTGTGTGTAAATACCCTTTTCCTTATTGTGTCTGCTCAGCAAAAACACAAGATCAACCTATCAAGAAAGCAGATGGGTAGTTCCACGTCAGATCAGTGAGCTGAATCGGCTCTAGAAAGGATCTGACAAGCCCCTGGCTCTGCTGGACTGAATCAGTGGAAGCAGAGGAGGAAAAGGAAATGAGACTTTCTCTTGTAGCGACAGTGGCACATTATATCCAGTCAGGAAAGGCTGAGATTTCCAGGAATCTTTGACTGAAGTTAAACATGTTTCTCGCAAGAAATTCTAAAAATGGTAGGAGCACGGCACAAATGTTGCCAATTACAAAACACTTTTGGAATTTGGGTTCTGTGTCTGACAATTATTTAGCCTCTAGTTTTAATTTCAATGGGAAAATGAGATAAAAAGAAAGAATAGAATAACTACTTGTCAGAGAAATAGTAATAAGAAAGAGAATAATAGAAAGATAAGGCTCTGCATGGGGGTGACGGTAAAAAAATAAATCACCAAGACAACATGCAGGTAGTTTATCATTCAATTCTGTCTCTGATACGTACATGGCCACTTAACAAAGGTAACCTCTCTGGGTTACAAGTGTTCTATACCAAAAGCTCTCTAATACATAGGTTACACACACCTGCAAGCACTCACTGCTGAAACAATTTAGGTATTGGACGCTGGAACTATAACACAGAAAGAAATGGAAGAGCTGATGTGAGGCTTTAGAAGTTGCGAACTCTGCCAGTTTCAAACTCCTCACGCAATGACACACGGCGTTTACACCAACAAGACCTGATTCTTGAGCTTTTTCAAAAGAATTGTGAATCCTGGTCCAGATTTCCACCAATCATTAGTCAGATCATAGGAAATGACATTTAATAGATATATTTATTTCTTGCCGTGTTTGTTTTTTGTTTATTTTTTTAAACATGTCTTTTGATTCTCCACCACCGCCACTTGTGCTGGACAATAACCTAAGTTTGAAATTAAGCGTTTATTACTCAATACCTCAGAGTCTGGCAGCAAATACAGAGCAGTAAGACAACCATCAGGATACTCTTGCCGAAGACCTGTAACTGCCCTCTCTTTAACGTGAAAAGAAGCCGGGCAGCAGCAAAATGAACGCACTGCCACCAGCCAGGAGCACACACTGCTGAAACTTCACGTCCCTGTGCACGGAACTGATGTGCAGGGGAGAAGCGGTACTGCAGGGTCGTTAACATAATGTTAATGTATTGATCTTTCTTCCTGTTTATATTTAATATGAGCATTCATGATTTTTCATTAAGTAAAAGAGAAAAAGCACTCGACAAACACATGCACCTGAAAACCACGGTTTGCAACAACAAAGCACGCACGCACCCAAATTAAATTAAAGATCGAGAGGAGGGATTTGTACTATTAGAGCCCCAGGAGCTCACCCGTCTGTATTTACCCTACCCCCCCCCCCCCAGGAGCGCTTCCCCAGCCCCGCACCTGACGGGGCCGCCCGGGGCCCCCCCCACCGCCGCCGTTACGGGAGGCTGCCGGGGCCCGGCCGGGCTTCACCCCCGGCCCCTCCGCCTCCAGCCCGAGGGAAGCGAAGCGAGCAGGGCCGGGGTCTCTCCGTGCCGGGGTCCCCCGGGGCCACCCCCTCAGCCCGGCCCCGACTCCAGCCCCGCTCCCCTCAGCGCGCTGCCCGCTCACCTGCCCGCTCGCCACCGGGCCTCCCGGCCCTCCACGTGCCAACAAGGCGGGCTGCCATTGGGCAGCGGGCTCCCCAGCCGCCCTGCTATTGGATGCGCGCAGCGGGCGGGCTCGCCCCGCTGTCAGGCGAAGCCGAAATGGCGGCGCGGGGCGGCGGGGCCGGTACCACAGCGGGCACCGCAGCCGCGGGCGGCCCCGCCACCAGCTTCCAGCGCAAGGCGGCGGGCGGCAGCCGCCTGTCCGCCCTGCCGGGCACCCGGCCCTCCGCTCGGCACGGGCAGCTGCTGCTCTCCAGCGGGCTGCCCTCCCTGGACGCTGTGCTAGGTCGGTGGAGAGCGGCTCCCCCTGCCCCTCATCCCCCCCCCCCCCCCCCCCGCCGGGCCCCTGAGCGCGGTTCCCTGAGGCGAGGGCAGCGGGCGGCGCCCCCGGGGCTTTCGCTCGTCCCCTCCTCGCAGAGATGGAGCTCGTGAAGTGCTCTGAGCGCTTGCAGGGAATCCTTTCCTCTTCCTTTTTTCAGTGTGGAAATAGCGGCTGTGGCACGGCGTGGGTCGGGCCGTGTGGACAGCTCCCGGTGCCGGCAGCTCCCTCAGCCTGCGGGCGCTCCCTGACGAGATTTGGGGTGGGTTGTGGAAATGGGGAAGGCTTTATTTCCAGTATATCTAAGGTTATTTCGAAAATACCCTTTCCTTGCCTTAATGCTCAGTAATTTCCTGACCTAACGGGCTTTACACTTTAAAAAAGACCCTTCTCTTTCACCCTAGGAACAGAAACTCTTGGAAATACTTTAACTTTTTTTTAGGATGTGGCATCTCTGAAAAACCCTATATCCGATATATTCTATATCAAACCTTCACTGGCCTCCTTGCCCTTCAGTCACAGCTTCCAGGGAGCTGAGTGGGGCCCTCAAAGGCTCCTCGTGGGGCTCGTGCACCATCTCCGTGGCCCTCCATGGGGCTCACCCCTTCCTTACACGTTTTGGTCCAGGAACTGCAAGCCAGATACTGAATTATTTGGCAGACAGAGGTAGCTTAGGAATAACTGTAAGTAAGGGACATGGGAGCAAGCGTGGTGTTACTAGACATGGGTCTAATTAGGACCTTTGGAAAAGAGGGGAAGGCAGAGGATACATGGGGAATTTCTTGCACCTCACAGCTACATGTTGATTTGCACAGAGTTGAGCACTAGCTATTTCTTAGTAAGTGCATTTCCCTTAAAAAATAAAAAAATAAAAAATAAAAAGTGGTAGATCAGTGCTGCACTGCAAATGCTGTCTTAGCAGTAAGGCCCTCTGCATCCCCCGGCTTTATATTCAGGTGTACCTTCAAGTGTTACTGACCATGTATGTCTGATTTCAAAGGAGTTTCCCTGTAGAGTTGCAACTATTGTATAATGTAAACATCCCTTGTTTGGTGTTAAATGGTCAATTTCAAGCTGCTTGAGAAAAGGCCACAGATACTCATTGAAAACAATCGTTGACACTTCTCAAGTTGCAACATTTCTTGTGTTTCCGTCCCTAGGATCTGAAACCTCATTGCTCTAAGTAGCAATGCAGAAAGTTAGAAAACTCGCCTGGTTGTTTGCGTGTAGTACTGTCTCAGATACTAGCAGAACAAAATAAAAATAGCAAAAAAATATATATATATATAAGTTCACATCAGATTTCTTAGGGAACATAAAGATTTTAACTTCCTTCTGATTTTATCAACATTCCTGCTACTTTTTGCTGCGGCCTGCTTTTTGCCTAATTTACTATTATTGTTGCTCATTGAAATACGAACACATTACCATGGTAACTGCAACAGTTTTACGTTCCGTCAAATAAAATATCCTTGCTTAAACTCTCCACAACATCTTATAACATTCAGCCAACCTTCCTACTCAAGTTTCCCTTTAGCATCCAGGGTATACACACATTACAGCTCTGGCTTGTAGGAAGAGGCACTACAACTGGTGACCTGAAAATAAAGCTTGGGAGTACTTTGTGTTGAGGTACTGGCTGACAAATATTCTCTCTTGGACGAGCTGTTTAAAGACAAGAGACACTACATCTGTGGTGGCTACAAGGGAGCTTCAGATAACCAAGATTTTCAGTCATTATTGCCATGAAGTAATCCTTACTTATGGCTCTGACCCTATTTCCTATGTGAAATTGTGTTTTGGTAAAATCTCATCATTTTGAGTTACTTTTTTTTCATGTACTAGTTTTAAATAGCTGTTGTTAGCAGCACATGCTTTCTGTCTCCTCAGAGAATTGAATATTTAAAGCGAACTTTGTATCAAGCGTGATTTTGGTACTTTTTTCTCCTTTATCCTTGTGGTAGAGCTTTTGTGTGTGTGTGTATATATATATTTTTTTATTTTATTTTCTGAACAGACAAAATGGAGCAAAAATTGGTGAACCAGAACACAGGGATTTCATACTGTCTTTCTAGTAACTAGTACTTACAGTTCTTTTAAAAAAGTATCTAGGAAATATTCGATTCCTTGATACATTTGCCATAAATATTGAAGAGTTTGTACATCTCGGTTCAGGAGCATAGCTTAAGCTATCTGCCATGCACTGAGACACAGCGATGAAAGGAGTAGCTGACTGAATGTTTGCACTGTGATGTGCCACTAAATTTCTGGTAGCCTCATGGCATGGCAGTGAAGTGATTCTGCTGTGTTTTGAGTTCAGGCATAACAAAGGAACAATATTAACACTTTTGTGACTTTTGTAGAAGCCTTGTGATCATTTTAGACATGCTGCTACCACACCTGTACCACTGATGCAAGCAAAAAATATCTCTTTACTCTTTTGTTTTTATGGTCTTGTGTTTCACAATTTTTAGTCTTTTCTTTCACAGGCTTTGGCCTGTGATTCGATGTGTTTATTTGTTTGGTTTTCTTTGTTTGTTGTTGTTTATTTTTTGCTGTTGTTTTAAGTAGGAAATACAAGGTCAGCAGCCAGAATGTTTCATGTCAGGTGTTCGTCTACTTTGTAAAAGCACTTACTGTTTTGGCTGCTTACTCAGCATGACTTATAAGCAGCATCCTTGTTCTACCTATACAGAGCAACATTTGGAGCTGTTTTATGTCTTCTAGTTCTGGCTTGCTTATGCCAAGTCCTGTATCTTGGCTTTTTATAGTAGGCAGCAAGTAATGTTATGCTACTAATGCACAATATCTAGATTGCTCTAATATCATTTATTGATACTCAAACATTGATACCTTGTGTCTTGGCAGTCATATTACAAGTAACACTTCCTTAAAATATTTCTTTGAATGTTTTTTTTCCTCCAATCTGTTGATATGCTGTCCTGGTGCTAAAATCCTTAATTTTGGAGGTAATTATGTATAATATGAAAATGGAAAAGCACGTATATTGTTTGCAAATCCTGTTGATGTTATAATCTGTATAATTATATTGCATTCTAGGTCGTCGGGTGACTTTTGCTAGAATGTGCATAGAAACTTAGCTGCTCAGCAGCATTAAGGAGCTGAAGATGAGCTCACATAAATCAGTGGTGAATGCAGAATTCATTGTCTCTTGATAAAAATGAAGTCTACTGTAGTCCTTTGGCCTATGGTCCTTTGGCATCTGTTTGGCCTACAGGAGAGAAATTTACTTTTTCTCTTCCTCCTGGGTGTACATCAACTTTATAGGTGCTACAGATATTTGTAGTCCCATAAGCAGAAATAAAGATGAAGAAATCGATCCAACTCCTTTAGGAATCAATTTCCAGTGAAGTTTAATGAGCTCTTAATTTGATAGACTGTTACACTATTCACTGGAGTCTGACTGTAGAGACTTCTTTTATCAAAACCTTTGGATGCTGCGCTGATGTGATTCAGTTTGCTCCCAGCTTGCTTTTAGAGCAGGATTTAATTGTGGAAGACATACTGCAGTTTCATTCATGCAAAGCACTGCAATAGACTGGTTTCATGTGATCATCCAAATGCTTCCAAAGCTTTTGGAGCTTTCCTGTCACAGTCTTACATTCAATAAAATATTTGTAGTCTACCTTCAAGTTATTCCAATATTTTCTGTCTTGGAATGCATATTATACAATTTTTTGCTCTTCACGTGAAGTAAAACATGATCTTTTCTTATACCTTCTCTGTTTAATTTCCTTCTTGAGACAATCATTTAAACCACTGTTACATAATTATACTTGTTTTCTCTTTGAGGAACAAATAAATCAGTCAGAACAAGAGTTCATAGATTTTTTTTTTTTTTTTTTTTTTTTTTTTTTTTGTAATACTGTTGAGATTGATAGGATAAGAGCCTGTGTATCAAAACATGGGCTGTATCCATTTCAGTCTCTTATTCATTTGGTCATCTGTGATTGGAACATAAGCATTGATTGCAATTGTTTAAGCAAAAAGAAGAAAGTTGTGTCCAATTGGTTAAAATATATTTTTATTTTTAAACAAATATTTTATGCAGCTGTATTGATAGAGCTGCTTCTGTGTCCAATACATACTCAAAAATACTTTAATAGTATTTTTTTCAGGTTTATTTTATTTTATGAAGTGTCAGTCCAGCTCTTATTGGTTGAAATCATACCTGCCTTATTGTTTTGTCTATTTTCAGTAATACAACAAAAACTAGGGAGCCAGGATTTTGCCTGACTGACTTCAGTGGGAATTTGTGAGCATCTTAGCAGGCCACTTTATGTACGTGGTTCTTGGTACAAAGCAATATCACCTGGTAGTGATTGATATGGATGTACTTTGGAGATTGTTTACTCACTTGAGTCATCCAAGTAAAAATTCCCTGGCAGAGATCATAAATCGTTATTGTAGGACTTGAGTATAGTTGCATAGAGCTCTGCAGGATCTTTTTTGCCATGACGATGATAGTACAGTATATTGTGAAAGTAATTGTAATGTGTAATATATAATTACATGTAATGTGTAATTATTTCATAATAGAGAATTGTAGGAAGTATTGCAAAGGTAATTAAAATGTTGTTCACTTTTGTATTTTTAAATTCCCTGTTATCACCTTTCTTTGACTTATAAACTAAGAAAACTCAATTGTTCTCTAACGTAGCATTAAAATGTAGTCTTACTCTCTTCTTCATTTTGTTTTCTTTCCAGGTGGAGGCTTAGCTGTTGGAACCCTTCTTCTTATTGGTTAGTATAGAATATATAAATAAAATATATCAGAATGTGGCTTATTCTGCTAATTTCAATATATTATTAAATGACCTGTCTTTTTATTGTGTATAAAGACCACACTTCCCATTTCTCTTTTAAATGCTATGGAGTTGCTGAATTAAAGCTTTTGAGCTATACCTCAAAAGAAAACAAGGATCTAAGTAGCACATAATGCAAGCTAGCTTCACAACTTGAGAGAGTGTCATTTCATCCTTCCCACTGTAACCGTCCTGATGTTCTGAAGTAGGCTTTTTACATCTAAGAAGTTAAGTCTGCTGATCACTTAAACAATATTACTAGAGATAATTTAAATTTCGTTGGTATGAAATGTGCTTGCAAAAACAAGGTCTTCATTGCCTCTAGAGAAAGACACCTAGTAGGCTGGCAGTTGTTCGGTCTTTCAACCTTAAGTAAGATGTAATCAGTAATTTTCAGTTATTTTCTGAAGGAGTAAAATGATGTGGTCCAAACATTTTCCCTATATTTACTTCCACTTTCAAATGACAACCATCACTAAGGAGACCAGTCCTTAACTTCACCTGCCTTTGTGTCTCCATTTGTAGATTGGGTCATGATATTTTGAACTGTTACAACATTTCAAATAATTTTAACACTGAAGAATATAACAGTGAAATACGGAGAGGGCTTATCTGAGTTCTCTTCTAGACAATATTGGGGTTACATCATGTTATTTTTGGCTAGTATAGGGTTTATATGAACCTGTCCTAGAAATTGAACAGTTTTCAGTTTCCCCGTGAGAAAGGTAATTGCTCTTATTATGTCTTGCTAGTTCTTATTTCTACATTTTAACTATCATTAGAGGCTGTTTAGAGACAGATGTTGCTGTCTTTAGTGAATCTTAGAAAATCTCAATTTTTAAATAAAAATCTATAAACTGCTGTATGTTGTGATGCAGATCTAAGTAATTTGAATAGTTGTCTGACAGAAAAAGTTCACTGACATTACCTGATTTCATATAGGTTACCACCTGTCTAATGGCGACCATTTAAGTTCAAATTTTTTGAGAATGCTGAATTGGTACAGCAGTTCACTTTTGGTAAAAGAAGTTGTCCAAATCCTCCTCTCTCTTCCTGGCTGTGCAGTCCTCTTCCTTGAGCTGGTACTAGTGCTTTTCAATTCTTTGCTGAGATGATTCAGCTCTCTAAGCATACAAAAAACTGATCTGGTTAAAGTGGAGACTTTTGTTTTGGCTTAGTGACCAGAGTTAATATGTGAGATGTGTACCAGAGCTGGTACAAGGGGAAGAGGAGAACTGAAGAGTCAGAACTAGAAGAGAGTATTTGGCCTTTCTTGAGGAAGAGAATACCAATTAAGCTTAATTTTCTTATGACATTTCACCCACATTTATGTGAACTCAGGGGAAATGTTAAAAAATTTTATGTCTTAACTGCTTTAAGAGATCTTTTCTGACACAGTTTGAGAAGAGCTGCAGTCTTTCTATGGTTAGAAGGAGGAAAAAGTTATAACCAATCATATTTTTCAGAGATCGCAGATTATGAAACTTCTTGTCTTGTCTTCCCATGATATATTCATTGTCCCTGTCAGTAGAACTGGCTCATATCAAATGAATCTTCTGTCCTATAAAATTGACATGAAACAAAAGAAGTTGGTTCTTTACATGGTATGCAGTTAAGTAGTGGAATAATTTACCGTAGAGTGTTGTGAAAGAAAACAAATAATAATAATAATTTTTTAAAAAATCATGCTATCAGTGGGAAAGTAGGCAACTTCATGGAACAGAAAGCAGTTTGGATTACTAAGTACATGGATACCAAGCCTGGTTTGGGAAGTCCTTGAGCTACTAACAGTGCGAGGCTGAGCAAGCGAAGCACTGTATTTGCTTGTTCAGTTCTTATTACCCTATCCTAAACATCTGCTTTTGCCTACTGTTGAGCATAGGGTTAGATATCCATTTCAGCTGACCTAAATGGCACCAGATGAAGTGAATACAAAAGGTGGTGACCTTGCTGTTCTAATGAAAGAGATGCCAATACTCCGTGATTTGAAAATGATAGGATTCTTACCTGGATGGTTTTTGTGTTTGTTTGTTTTTTCCTCTGAGTGCATGACTGTTTATTTGTGATCTGCTATTAAGCTTAGCTTATAGAAACATGAAGGAGAATTTCACTTTTAGATTTGAAAACTATTTTTTTTCCAAAATAAAACTTTCCATATGTTATTTTGAAACGTGTAATTATATACCAAAAGTCTTGAAGGGAGAACTATATTTATTCATGACTCATTAGTCTAAAAACTTTTAGACTAATTTTTAAAGTTGGTGCAGGCAAAATTGTAGCTGCATTGTTAGAATATCCTGTCAATACACACAAAAAAATCTGTCATGAGATTAGTCTAGGCAAGCTTAATATTATACAGGATTGAAGCTGTCAGCGATAAACCTCCTAGGAAGATCTTCCTGCGTTGTACTCCAAGTGTTATAAAAAGGTTAAATTCTTCTCCCCTCCCTTCAACATTCTCTAAGGCAAGAATAAATTGCATTACTTTTAGCTTAGCTCCCTTTGCAAATTAAATGCTCATCTTCATTATTTGACACATTATCTTGGTTAATTTAACCAAATAATAGTAGATTCAGGATATTAAAATATTTATTTTAACTCTTGTGTTCTGGAGATGTAGTAATGGCACAGGTTACTGGATGTGACTGTAAAGTAATGTTTGAAATATAAGTGCTCAATTTTTTTAAATTCAAATCATAATAATAAGCATCATGATTTCAATTGATTTCAATTGAACTTCTATAGTATGTTCTTTTGACAGTGTTTTATTTATATGAAAATTAGAGAGTTGAGGTACATGATTATCTTACGCAAGATACTAGGGGAACCTGAAACTTACTGGGTTTTGTTCCTATAGTAAGATTTAATTATTTATTTTTTTTTAACTGGTACTCTAATTTCAAGAGAGATTCCTGTACTGGGTTTATAAGAAGCTGTAAAACTGGCATTCTGACTCTTGAGTGAAATGGAATTTGAACGCTACCCAGACAGTTTGCTCAATACCAATGTGTGACCACTTGTTGGCTCTTTCACCTTAAACTGCTCCAGCAGATTAGCCTTATGGAAGAGTCTCCCCTTTCAAAACAAACAAATAGTATAGCTGCTGATTAAACCAACTCCTTTCCTCCCACTCCCCAGTGTGCTTAGACCTGCTGTTTCGCCACCCTTAGGAAGAGTTTTCAGAACAATGTGGTTTGCATTCTGTATAGTGAGTTACGGTGTGCTCAGATAGGGCTGTCCTGGGTACCCTATCGGAGCCTGTTCCTACATACCTTTGAGATGCTGTAGCTTTGACAAGGTCATTGATGGCTAAATGTTTTAAAGATTATCAGTAGGAGGGTTTTTGTTAGTAGCTGAGGTCAATTATAAAAAGTTAAAGTTGTTTGGTTAAAAGCAGGTCCATACCTGTGCGTTCGAAGCCCTGCAGCAGTTTCAGCTACTTTAATTAGCTATTCTTATTTTTGTTAGACATGCAATTTAACCTGACTGGTAAGAGCTCTCGTCACTTGTCAATATAATTGAATTTATCATCTTTTTAAAAATTGAAAAAGAAAATCTCCAGAGAGGTGCAAAACAGTGATTTTCCAAATATAATTATACAAAATACAAGTTAATCAGAATTCACCTTTCTGAAATGTGGCCAAATGCCAAATATTGTAACTTGTATGTTTGACAACTCGGTGTTGGCATGTGCTAATTAAATGCAAGTGACACAGAGTATATCCCCTCAGGGTTAGTAAATGTGGACATTAGTAAAGTATCTTTAAAATGGAATTTCAGATTATTGAAATAATCGCATCTTATAACCTGCAGCAATTCAGAGAGATGTTTCGTAGCTACAGAAAGACTCACCTTAGGTCACAGTACTATGCTGTAGAGCTATCTGGTGAAAAAAATGATCAATACTGATAGGCTATGACAGGCTTTTGGCAGCTCTAGGGCAACCTGTCTAGGCTTTGTAAAGAGGGGAAAAAAAGCTATCTGTACATTACATTGCTGCAGTCTTATTTTTTCACCTTATAGCTCTGATCTTTGTAAGTAATTAAGCTACAAATTATCTCTGGAGTTTTTCAAAGACCTTTGTGTCATTCAATATACAGATGTTTAAAAGTTAGTTGTTACAAATGTGATCCATGCATCTTTGTTGCCTTATGGTGACTTTTGTTCCCCTTCAAGTTACAGCGCTTCTCCTCCATCCCACCCTTGGAACACAAACACCTCTGGTGCAGGGGGAGCACTTAGGGCTAGGGATTTTTTTTAATTCTTGATGCCACATGTTTAGACATAAATTTCCATAATTACATGAGATTTTTGTCCTTAATGATTATATAAACCATTTGGTTACAGTGCCTCACACATATCTGCTCTCTTTGTTTTCTGTGCTCCAGCTTAACTCCAGTATCTTAAAATTTGGTATCTAATTCCATGACCCACTGATTCCTACTAGTCCCACAGACAGTCCATGCACAAAGGTGTTGAGCATGTCTCGTAAGTGTTCAGTAGCCTGTACGGTATAGGGGTGAGAGAAGCCAGAAATAGGAATTGGTCTTTATCCTTTGTTTTCGACGTGGCTGTATGCTGGAATTCATTGTGCTGATACTGACAATACTGCATTTTCTTCATAACTGTTTTGGCCATGAAAGCATGCTGTTGTGGAAAGAGGCCTCCAGATAACGGTCAAAATAAAGTATTTTATTTATGTCCTTAATCTGCGCCATCAGAAAAGGTTTTGTCCCGGAGACAATATACATAACTTCTAGGTAAATGATCTCTTTTCCTTGTATAGTTTTACGCTTCACTAGTTACTCACCTGCTACTTAGCTATACTCTTTGTTCAGAAAGAATCAGAGAAAGCTGTGGACTGTTGTGTGACTTGTGGTGACTGGACCCAGAAAAGAGTCTGCAGCTGCACAAGTCTCGTTTGTCTGTGTGCCTTGTTAGCTAGAAGTGAAGTTCACAATGAAGGCTGCTGACGGGACAGCCATTTAGTACAGAGGCTAAGAATAAAGATTTGGGCCAGGCTTGTCTTAAGTTTCTTGGCTGACTAAAATACACTTAATGCTAGTTCCTACCCGTATAGAAAGGAGGTAGTTCTTCTGGATGTGTGTGTAATTTGGAAAAATAAAGATAACAGTCAAGCATTTATCGTAGCCATCAACGAGTAAGTCCAGGAGTTATCAGAAAACAAAAATCCTTGAAAGCATTTTGCCCACTTTACCTATGAAAATAATCAGTGAGCTACTGAAATACCTGTGCTAAATGATTTGTTTGTTTATTTAGAAAAAGAAAGCTGTACTCCTCTGGTTTTGAATAGCAATGTAACTGTTGAATCCAGGGTACAATGGATGCTATCAGAAAAGCCCCATATGGGTGCACTTTAGATCTTTTGAATACCACAAAAGTTTAGTGACCTAGAAATGAATCAATAAAAAGCCATCCTCTATGTGACAAATTGAAGAACTGAGGGATTCTTACAGATGCATTGACTTTAACAATTCAAGATACACTGTTTGTAAAGGCTTTCTGAGACACATTTAATCCTTTGAGTACTGTAGCAGACTATGAGGTGTTTTATATTTAGATCACTCTCCAATAGTTCATTTTCATGTTTTCACTGTTAAGTTTACTGTTAAGAAAGTTGATGTAAGAAGACAAGAGGAAAGGCTAGTGCTAAAATGCTTCTTCACACTGAACAACATTTTTAATTTGCTAATGTGAAAGCTCCTCATTGCTTTGCAAAAGGAGGTTTGGAAGGGTATGGCAGGGTAAAAACCTCTTCAGTCCCGTTAGATTAGAAATAAATCTAACACTCAAATTATAATCTTGGGCAAGTCAGTGGAAGGGTTTATTTCCTGTTCCCCACCACTTCGTATACATATAAAAAATATTCTTTACTACTACAGTCTCATTCCCTCTTAGTTTAGTTACATAATCATCAATGCACAGTATGATTTCTTACATTTATCCAGTTTTACAGAGTTTCTATGTTATGTTTGGCACATAACTGACCATGCTGTTTACTTCCTAAGGAATAATTAATATTAAAAATGATGATCCAGAGAGACTCTCTGTATAGTTGCAAACACAAACCCAAGCTAAAAATGCTTTGATTAAATGGGATATTGGCTCATACTCTGGTAAATTGAGTTAAATCCTGTCCATATGCAATGCAGCTTGGTGTTTGTGTGCTCCAAATGATGAAGAAGGTGAACTTTAACCTATACATGAAAATCACGTTTTGTGATTTGTCAAGATGTGGTAAATATTACAGCTGAGGATTCTTCCAGAATGCCCAACTTATGTCCCTTTTCTTCTTTTGTTCGAAGGGAGGGAGGTCTAACAGTATTGCCTCCACTGACATCTGCTGCAGCAATTATATGGGAGGCTTGGTGACCTCTTAGGTAGCTCAGACATACTTTTTATTTTTTGAATAAATAGATATCATGCTGTCACTTTACTGATTTGTAAGTGGCTTTGGTTCTTAAACTGAGAGCTTCATAGATGGAAATTAGCACATGGAAGTCTATATTCCATAATGTATAGCTGTAAAGAGCTGTGGGTGGGAACCATATATGTTCCTGGACTCCAGTTACAAACCACTCCAGTTATGTTTGTGTTGTTGGTTTGTTGGTTTTTTTTTTTCCTCTTTTTGAAGCAATTTAAGGGCTAGGCAGGTTTCAAATAATACGTTTAACAAATAATACTGTAATACTTCTTAAAAACTTGAGTTGGTGTCAGTTCTACTCTTTGCTTCCCCGGTTGGGATTTGGTTTTATCTGAAATGAGCCTTTTGTCTCCATCCTAGTCTCACAAGGATCAACCTCCTCAAGTCATGGCACAATCTATGGACCTGAATCACTAGGAAAACACTTCTTTAGTATCTTTATTAATCACTAAATAGAATAAAGGAAGCTAGAGTAAACTATATAAAGTATTTAATGGCTCTAAACTTTCAAGGAAATAAGTTTGTAATTCTGTAATTCTTTTAGGAATTTCACCAGTTCTGGTGAAATTTTAACAGGAAACAACAGTAAGCATTTGTGAATATTGCACTTCTCACTGTACTGATCTGTCCATATTCTTCACTAGATTGTTATTTTTGGAAAGATAAATGTGCCACTTTTATGTTAATATGTTACTGGAAGTGGATCAGAAGGCTAGTATGTCCTGCTAAGCAGGTTAACAGTCTCAAAGGTAAACGAAAGAATATAATCTCAGTTCTTAAATCCCTTAGCTTACAATAAGCTGCATGCATCAATGGCTAGTAGTAGTAGGAATAGTGTTGTAATTATTGTACTCCCTTGGGTTTATTTCTCTGTCAGAAAATGATGGTTTACAGTTGCTTTTAATTAATTTCTTTTTCAAACAGAATTCTTTTTTAATGGTTTTAATGAATGAGAAACTTTATAAAAAATATTTCTACTTAACAACAAAGTCAGTAATCTTGGAAGCTGAAGGGATTATTCTGTAGAAGGAGAAGAAAGAAATGAAACAATTAATTTTTGCCAAATTAGTAGTGTATACCTTTTAACATTAAAAAAAAAAGAAAAAGAAGAAAAAGACAAGGTATCTCACATACTAAATCTGAGAGTGAAATGACAAGCAAGGAAATAAATTGTGTGTTGCCCGATGTCCCATGGAGAATAGGGAGTGTTTCTGGTAGAACTCTTCGTTCCCCAGTGAATTTGAAAATTTCAAATTTTGAAATTTACAAATTTCCGTGTCTTGCTAATCTAAGCACTGAAAGTGGCAGTGTTTGTGTATGGTATCAGGAGCATTGCGGTGAAATGCTATTTTTCTGGGATTTGCTTCTTAAGTTTCCTCATTACTTTTAGGCTCTTTCTCCTTTTCAGATGTACACATTCTTTCTTCATTTTTCCCTACCACACTTCATTTGTTCTCTTTGCTTGCTAAGCTCCAGAATGTGCCGTTCTGGTACATATCAAAATGGTAGTATCCCCATTGCCCCACCCCACTTTAGATATGAATGGCAGCTTTCTCATTTTCAGCTTTTGTTTTTGGTTTTATGAATTATATTTTAACATTTTCATGTGTGATTCATAATAGGGAGGAAATTGTTTCCAAGTTACACAAACAATGGATTAGGAGTCTTGTTAGTTCTGCATAAAGAAAATTTACCTAATTGGCATGATCTAAAATTTTACTGTATTAATCAGATTATTATACTGTCAGGAATGTGTTGTGCTAGCTGTTAATATTGCTGTATTTTTTTCTCTATCTCCTAAAAGTAGAGAACATGCAAGATGGTTCAAATTTCAGAAGTTATTTACTCATTCACTTCCCCCATAGTTTTTAGTTATGCTAAACTTAATTGTATGAAGCTCATTAAGACTTTCTGATTCTAATAATTTCTGATAGTTAACTTGCAACAAAGAGATGCTGATGGAAATGTTTGCCTTCCTGCAGTCAGTGGGAGTTCGTATGTTGGTTTCAGTGGGCTAGTATTCACTACGTCTGTTAACAATAATTTTCTCACCTCTTAAACTGCAAGTTCAGTTGTCTTTTGAATGTGTTCATGTTTTTGCTCTGGATAGATTGCAAAAATGGCATTGCAAATGTTTTTTCAGACAATTGAATTTTTTCTATTGGAGACTTGTATTTATACAGATTTGCTGGATTTTCTTTTTTTTTTCAATATTTTGCTGTTGCCTATTTTTGTAGTTCTTAAAGCTTTGAAAGAAATACTGATGTAAGAATGTCTCTATAAGAAGTGTTAGCTTTAGTTTTAGCATATCTTATATGACCACATTTTGAAAAACATCAATTCATAGATATTTTAAGCAAGTTGATTAATACTTTAAGCATAAAGAATATAAAGATAACATAGGTCTAAGAAATGAACAAAACTGCTTCCCATTGTGCCATGATTTTGGTAAATCAATCTTGGTTGACACTATGGGAAAACTTGTTATGAAGACAGTACTATTGCTGTATCCCATCCATACTGTAGAATCAACTAAATGATTACAAACTGTATCTCAGGCTTGAAAAATTAGGAATCAAGTGTTGTTTTAAAATTTTCAGATTCATATTTTACCTACTATCTCAGTTCTACAGTACATGTTCTAGGAGGTAGACCAAAAGAGGGCTTTTATAGTGTTGTGAAAATAGAGACCGGTGTTCTATCTAATAAAAAAAGAAAAATCCCAACCATTTTTGTTTCCACAGAGGAAGATAAATATGGTGTTTACTCCAATTTGTTGTTCAAGTATTTCCTTGCGGAGGGAGTTGTCTGTGGACACGACTTGTTTGTTGCTTCTGCTATGGAGCCTCCTGACAACATCTTAAAGGTAAAGACTCATAGCTTTTGACTAATAAAGTGCTAATTTCTTGATGTATTTAAATACATTTTAAAGTGTATATATTATATTTTAACAAATGAATTAATCTTGGTGATCCACAGGAATGTGTTGGGAGTCTTTACACTAGCCAGATTTGGGAATTAAATTTAGTTTGCTGGCTTGCCTCTATAAACAGTGAAGTAAGATCTTCTCAAGGATCAGTCTAGGGGCCTACTTATCCATCGTTTAGATCGTGGAAGAAACACTGCAGTTTAGCTGGCTAAACTGAATGGTTTGTATAAACCCAACTGTTTTCTTTCTGTGATAGGTAGGTGGAAACTGTAGTTAAGCTGCTTCCAGTATATTAGGGAGGGTGGGGAAACAGCGTACAAACTGTGTAGATATTTCTTGTAGAAAAAGAAAGAATAGCATTTAACATCTTTCAGTACATCTTCCTTTACGCATGCTTTTCATTCTGACTGTCTTTTTTCTACCAGGAAATATGGTCACTCTTGCATCAGGTCACATAAAAAGGTCTCTTGCAGACTTTTGTGAACTCTTAATGAAGCACTGATATTTTCCATTATCAGAAAATTATACAAGGGAAAAAATCCAGTCAATACTGTAAAAAAAAAAAAAAGCTGAGGATAATCTTAAATTATGAGGATAGTCTTAAAAAATTGATTAAATATTGTATATCTTTCTAAGGCTGTTTTTTTCTAATATCAAAAGTAAAATATATTTTTCTGGTTGCTTCTGTATCAAGGGTCATCTGACTGTTTTCTTAAGAATCTTCAAAGGCTATTTCTGGTCAAAATTACTCCTTTTCTCATTCCTTACCTAGTGATGGTAGTTTTTGTGCTTCATCTGTTCATTATGTTCTTCAGTATTCATGAAAAAATATATTCTTAATGAAATTATATGCTTGTGGTTAGAAAAATCTATTTTTTTATGTTCTTGAAACTAAAAATTTCATTCCTAAATGAATACTTATTATGATTTGTTCTTGTCTTTTATAATATAACCTAAACAAATAGGCTAGAATTTTATTGTGAATTATGAATTGCATAAGAATTTGTGCTTTTTATAAAAGTAATTATTTTTAAATAATTGATAATCAAGTCATTGACTGGCTGACCATACAATGCGTGGTCATTGCATTTGTTGTTCTCATTAAAATTAAATTAGTCAAATGAATATTTTTATTGCATGGTATTAAATGTCTTAAAATAGACCAGCTAACATGCATTTCGTTCTTCTCTCATTCACCTTGAAATTAATCATTTATAGCATGTCACATTTTTCCTGGTTCCTGTTTATTATGCTTTTGCTAGTCAACAGACATTGTTACATACCTCCATCCTTCTTGTACCAGTTGGAGTTTCTGGTCAGTTAGTCTGATGCTGTTTAGTGAGCTCAGTTGTCTGATTTTTGCAGTAAGTTTTCCTTATTTCCTTATTTCACTAGGTAATAATACTGCATTCCTTTGTAGTAACTCCATAATGGTGTTACTAAAAGTGATTATAAAAGGATAGTACAATGTTAGTACAGGAAAGTTCAGGGAAACGTAATTTTGTCTTGTTTTCTTTCTCCGTTTGTGTGTTTACATATCCAACAGTATTGTCTATGTTTTCTACTCTTACCTTGACTGTTCAACCCTTCCTTTGCTTACAGCAAGGCACAATAGAGTTGATTTCTCTGATTTGTATTGCTGTCTTGAAATTGCTTCAGTGAAGTAACCCTGTAATACATTAGGCATCAATCTAGAAAATTACGTGCTTTCACACTTGGCAGGCTTAGGCACTTCTTGAAAAGCTAGTATGTATTGCCTAAAAAGATGACATTGCAACACCTGGAAGAGTTGATCTAAGACTGGCATTGGCCACAGTTAGGTCTACAAATCATAGAAGCAGCTTTCCCTAAGACTACTTTAATTGACCTTTAAAGGAGAAGACCTTCAGGTGCTTCAAGAAGTTCTCTTCTATTGTAAAAGTGAAGTTCAAGTCAGGTTTTTAAGGCAACATATCTGACTGTTGAATAACATTGCATTTCATTTTTTGAGATTAGTAATTAATTTATTTTCAGTATCTGAAGGGACTGTATTCTTTGCTGGAAAGGCAACATGAATTTGGTACATATCAACCTGAATTACATACTTTGTGCTTGTTTTTTATTTTATAACATTCAGGTATGGATTCAGTGTATTCTATAGCTAGTTTTCTAATTAATTATTTTACATAAAGACAGTTCTTTATCCGCCTTATGTCTTTATTGTGTGGTCACTCTATTTATAATTCTCTGCTGAGATGCCATAATTGCCCTATTCTAATTTTATGATGTGATTGGAAGTTTCTTGAACCTATAACCAAGACAAATATTGCTGGTAGTAGGAAGGGGAAAAGACGTTCTTATAGACCATAATTATCTTGAAATTGTGTATAACTAAAAGACAAGCAGAGGATAAAAAGCCCTGATCAGCTGCCTAAGATATATTATATTACCACCCACCAATTTATCCATCATCCTTTGAAAACATATTCATGCCTTTTGTAGTCAAAGCTCCTTCAGGAAACTGGCATTAAGACGTAATGCTGAAAAATTATACACCTCTGGTAAAACCTACAGAACTATATACATGCTGTTTTTAGAAAGTATTTTAAACATTTGAGAGCATTTTCTGTTCAATCTATATTCTTTAGCAAAAGATAACTTTTTACTATAAGGGCATAAATAGTGGGAATTGGATACCATAAAAGAAATAGCATGGTATAATTCTGTGAAAGATTATAAAACAAAACTGATTGCATAGGTAAATGGAAAGCAAGTTCAATAATAATGTTTCCTTCGGTCATTTTATATCTTAACATTCCATTTTCAGTACAAAACTTTGTTTAGACTGCAAATTATGAAAAGCTGTTATGTACTCAAGCTGAAAAACAAAGGGAAACTAATAAACAAAGGTGTTCTTTTTTCTTGTCTCAATTTCCTTAGTTTCATTGGGTTTAGTGTCTATATATATATATTTATTTTTTTTAAATTAGCACTCTGAAATTCATGCCAACTATTTTGAAGTTGTATATGGTGTTTGTTTTTGAGAATGGAACACAAATTCGAGGATATGCTTATTAGAAGAATATGGCATAATAAGAATACAAATAGGAATAGGGATATGGCATGAAGCTGCAACAGGGGAGGGTCAGGCTGGGTGTTAGGAAAAGATTCTTCACTGGGAGGGTGGTTGGGCACTGGAATGAGCTTCTCGGGGAAGTAGTCACAACTCTGAGCCTGCTGGAGTTCAAGATACGTTCAGACAACGCTCTTGGACATATGGTTTGACTTTTTGGGTGGTCCTGTGCAGACCCAGGAATTAGACTCAAACTTATGAAAGTTTTTTAAAAAAAAAAATTCCTACTGAACTGAAAAGTTCACTAAAACAAGAAAAGTAGAATTTAAATATGTCATTTTGCTTAAGCCTGTTTGGTAAGCCTGAAAAAAGTTCTATCTCTGACAAGTTGGTTATACTGACTTGACTTGAAGAACATAAAATGTACACCTAACTCTTTTCCCAAGGAGAAGATGAATGCAGAAAGAACTAAGCAAAATTTATTTTTGTTATTTCCAGTGTCATTTAAGAAACAAACATGCAAAAAATATGTATTTTAATTATATCAGTTGCAATATAATTTTCTGCATTACAACAACATTGCTATAAACTTGACACAAAAGTTATAAGGGTGTGAAAGGGTATACTGAGGGGGGAAAAAAATCACTTCTGTTAAAAAGAATGAAATCCTTTTAAGCAGTACCCACACTGAGAACTCTCTAAAGTGTAAAGCTCTGTCTTTAACAAAAGTTTGGACCAATCTAATAAAAAGATTTTCCAGAAGCAGGGCAAATAAATGTCTAGCTTCGGTTTCAGGTTTCCTCTCTACCAATCTGTGGCTGCTTATTAGGATATTTTCTTTCATGATCTTGTTAATGAAATGATAAGCTTGTTTTTAAACAGAGTTCTTACATAGGCTATTAAATGTATCAGAATTTTAGAAGTAGTAGTTTTTCAAAAACAGATGTTCAGGCTTCAGTACTAACTATTAGTACTAACTTCAGTACTAACTTCAGAACTAACTATTTCACAAATCTATTAGGTACGTTTGTAGAAATGATTTGCTCAGTTAGTCAACTGTGTCTTACAGTGCTCACCTCTAAGGGTGTCCATGAAAAATTTTGTTGGTGGTATTAAATCTGCTTAGGCTAGTGCATTATACGCTGCAGTAGAGGTTGCAAAATTTTAAGTAAGGATGCTTCCATTTTTATTCAATATCTTCACGTTAGTTTTCTCAGTGTCTTGTTCTCCTTTTTGTTACATTTATCTTTTACTTAAACACTCCTGAATTGATACAGAAAATGCTGAAGAAAACATCTAATATTCTCTTATGCATTTCTGGTTTTCAGCATTGTGAAATGCATCTGTAGTGGGAAAAAGTTGTAACAAAGAGTTGTGTGTCTTGACTGTAGGGTTTACTTCTATTTATGTGCTGTAGAGAATACATTCTCATGGTTTATAACAAAACAAAATGGTTAGACTACTTTCAGTTGCTCTGTTTTACGAAATCAAAAAGGTAAATTCTACTTTTTTCTCTTCATATAATTCTCATTGACATCTCTGGGTTGACATCCGTTTGGTGCTTTCGCATGCCAAAGAAAAATGTCCATAGAACTAACAGCTTTACCTGGAGATGGAAATAAATTGTTGTGCAAGGGCCCCCTGAAAAAAATAAAAATCTGTATCCAGTCATTTGTGTTCTTTAACAATAGACCTTGTCCTCACAAGTGTTTACAATCAAAATAGAATCCTCCTCCCTTTTGGGAGTAGGGCCCTTTAAACTGACATTTATATAATACATTATTGAAAAGAAAATATTTACCCTTCCTAACTTACCATCTGGTGTCCTTGAAATACTAAAAATTAACATAATGAAAAAGAGCCTCAAATTCATGCGAGTTTAAAC